CAGGTGGGCTTTGGCCTTCCTCGTCGCATGCGTGCATGCTCTGATCACATTCCTGTATTCTTCCCAAGTGGCCTGCCCCTCTTTCCACATTCCATGGACCTTTCTCTTCCACCTGGTCTCCGCTAGAAGGTCCTTGCTCAACCATGCTGGTCTCCTGCCTCCTTTGCTAGATTTCTTTCTCAGGGGGATGCATCGCTCCTGAGCATGGAGGAAGTGATGTTTAAAGAGCGACCAGCACTCTTCTCCCTAGGTCTAACCCATACCTCAACCATCACCAAGTCCAGCCATGCTCCGTCTTACGTTTAGATACGAAACAACTACTTACTGTGCTTCATATCTTCACTTCAAATTTAAAGGTAGCTCCAGACTAAGAAAAAGTTGGACATCATTGTCTTTTACACTTTACCAATGTACAGCAATTGTGCTGGGTAAGAAGTGTTCACTGGTACTCAGACAGCACACAGAATCACTAGCAGTAATTAGCAAAATACAGCGTAAAAGATGTTCTGAATTTCTTCATTTACCAGTGATGATATGTTAGAATAATTCTCTCCTACCTGATACTGAATATGTACTGGATTTCGCTACATAGCTTTCAAGTAGTTTCCTCATAGACGGGTCAGAAGCTTCTTCTAATGCACACCTTCCCAACTCATTTTTTAATAAGGGATCTGCTCCATATGAAAGTAATAATTCTGCCATCTAGAAAAAGAAGTTTTACAGATTGTTTCTTTTCTGACAGTATTTTCCATACTCCTTCCTCATACAGGCTTCTGTCTCTTGTACTCGACAATATTAGCAACTAAAACCAAATCTAAGGCCTACAACAAACAATCCCTCTCTATTGTAGTTAATATACCCCAGGCATTCCCCTAGATGCACCATTATCCTATAGTCTTATTATTTTCATTTTTATAAACTCATTCCAGTTGTTAAACCTGATGTCATTATAGCCAAGATCTGCCAAAATACAGGGTAGGATTCATCCCTCCATAGCTCTTAATTGGTGGAAAATAACAGGTGATTTTAGGGTATGAGTCAGATTACCTATTTAGGATATCTACTTTAGGAGGAAATAAATTGTGCTCTAGGTGTGTCTACTGTGACTTCAAAGGGAGGTTTTGACAGCTATTTCAGATGTTACAACAAACACCTGGTCAAATGAAACCCACTCTGAGGGTCTTACCAACATTACGATTTCCATACAAATGTAAAGCCTGATTCTGTTGTTCTTCAAGAAATTATGACTTTAGCAAAATGTTTCATCTATCTTTGTAGAATACTTTTCTAAGACATGGGAAGTTTACAATCTGATGATTTCCTTTCTGTAGGTAATCCTGCAATCTTATTCCAGCACTAGTGTAGTTTTACTTGTACCTCTGCCTTTCTCTCTTCAGCATCTGTTAACATTTTAGATTGAGCTTGACTCACTTCCTTCACCCATGTGTTTAAAGTCCCTCATTACTTCTAACTAGATTGCTGCTGAGGAAATTGCTAGTGAAGTTTTCTCAATCCATACATTCTCCTAACAAGAGAGCGAATAAAAAAGGTGCCAATATACAGCAAAAATCCTCTTGGGTGTCACAAGTTGTCCCAAATCTACAGATTTTTTTAAACGAGGAATGTTGAGAACTCTTCTTCATTAATGAGGTCTCCAGCTACACATCACATTTGTATGCTCTCCCCCTCAACTGTACAATTAGAAAATCTTTCAGATACTAACCATTTTTCTGACATAAGAAATCAGTTTTGCCACATTGCAGACAGAGAAAGGGATAAAGCAGTCAAAAGGTGTGTTAATAATAATAGTAACTTCACGCAGAGCTTTTAAAGAAACAGCTCCAAATACCATGTTACCAAAAGTCGTACTACTGAATGACTATCGCTATTTTGTTGCCAGGCCAAAGCAAGAAAAATTAAGCCTGACAGACCACTGCAGTGATACAGCTATACCGCTCCTGAGTAAATTCAGCGTTACCATGCAGTACCATTCCCTGTGGATACATCAGCTCACATCACTCTAACACAGCTCCATGTTGAATGATGTTGGCGTGCCTCAAGTGACCTAGCGGAGATCAGTGTTCTTCCAACATCCTTCAAGTTGCTGACCTCTAAATATTACTTGCGGAGGTGCAGAGTCCTTCATGCATAACCACAGACATTGTGTCCTAGATACTTTCACAAAACTCAGAAATATTTCAAGAACCTGCAAGAGTCTGTGAAACACAAGCTGAAAATCAAGCTTGCGGCTCTCAACTCTCCAGAGAAAATTATTAACCTAAAGTCCACTCTTCCTGTTTGCTCCAGGGAGACTCGGTGAGAAACAGATTAAGTCTTATCTCAGTTGTGAAACAGAAAGCAAGCAAATGTTTACAGGCAAAATATACTACATCCCACAAAAAAAAAAAAAAAGAAATCTTGTAAATCAGTAAGTACTAGTCAGCATACATGCCCTTCTAGAGAAAGAAACAGCAAGCAGGTAAAGGGGACATGCAGAACTCCTATACAGATGTGGGCCACCCCAGGAACATGCACAAACAGACAAGTGGAGGCCAGACTGAAAGAGGATCCACAGTTCAAACACAGGCTTATGAAACCACAGCATTTGGCAACAAAACTTACAATTAATTCAGATTGACTATTCATCTGACTTTCTGTTTAAGAGCATACAAAATATAAAGCCTTGTCTTCACAACTCTCCATGCTGTGTTAACACACAAAAAATGTCTGTGCATGGCTGCAGCTGCTCACCATACATGCATGCTTACTAAATCAGACCGGTTATTCCCAGCGTATTCAGCCCCCAGAGCTGGAGGACCGCGAAGGAGAGCAGAACAAACCTCCCATAATCCAGGAGGAAGCAGTTAACAATCTGCTATGCCACCTGGACACTCACAAGTCTATGCAGCCAAATCAGATCCACCCAAGAGTACTGAGGGAGCTGGCGGAGGAGATGGCCAAGACACGCTCCACCCTCTATCAGCAGGCCTGGCTAACAGGGGAGGTCCCAGATGACTAGAGACCTCCTAATGTGACGCCCATCTACAAGAAGGGCCGGAAGTAGGACCCCAGGAACTACAAGCCTGTCAGCCTGACCTCGGTGCTGGGGAATATTATGGAGTAATTCATCCTGAGTCTGCTCACCAGGCACGTGAAGGACAACCAGGGGATCAGGCCCA